TCTAGTATAGTTTAGTAGGTACCCTTTGGCTCTTGTCAGAGTCCGTGTTATTTTCATCATCTTGGTTATCTATTTGATCTCCCCGTCTGGACTGACTGCAATGGATGTCTCTTGTTTCTTGAGACTTGTGCAGACATTTATCGTGCGTTCGTGTACAGTTATCCACTCTACAGGATTTTCTGGATTTGCACTTCGTGATCTTATGACTACCTACCTTCAAACATGGCATAGGTGTTGTCAACCTAACCGCTAACCTCATTGTTTATTTTGATGCCTGTGGGTCTTTGAATTTTGCTGGCGTGTTCCAGGTGTTGTACACTTTTGCTTTTCAAACACTATGCTGCACGGTGCTTGAAACACAAACACAATATCTGCTGGAAAGAGGCTATGAATTTGTTGTTGTGGTGGGTAAAATACAGCAAGCTACATTTGCCATTTTCTCTAACCAATGAGCAAAATGTTCGAGATTTCTTTTGTGCCCTTTGTCTTAAATTCTTCCCCCCAACGAAATATCATTGTGTCTGATAATTTTTGAAGAGCATCTTCAAATACTAAGAGATTTTGCAAACGTGCTTCAATGTCTAAACCTTTTATTGTACCTACTGACCAAATTACTGATGTGCGTAGGAAATCGAATACTGTCCATTTCGTTGGCTCTTATTTGAGGAAAACTTCTGCTTTTGATTCTATACAACAAAGTCGCAATTATCTGTTCTGTTCTGCCAAATCTTAGTTCTAATTTTTGGGAATTATAACATTCCTGCTAATGTGTTTCTTGCCTCTCCGCTGAAACATTTTTGAAGTTTGATCATCGATTCCTCTGGAGTGTAGGTACTCACATATCGCATATCGCTGAAATCCTCCTGAACGATTAAATTGAAGTAGATCGACCCTATGTTCTTCCATAGAAAAATGGAGAGACCTTTTCCACTGTGTTTTTTTTTTCCCAAAATACTTGTAGTGAGAATCATTGCAATTCGCACACACTATTAAACATCCCCCGTAATGTGTCAACATTTTACTTCTTGGACACACAGGTAATGACAAAATCTTGTCAGATTGATAAATCAGTGGTGAACTAGTTCCAATAAGCTGTTTAAGAAAAAAAAAATATTCGTACACAGCTGCACTAATGAGCTTAGCTGGTCTGGTGGCACCGCCTGAATGTAGTGAATGTACTTCAATGTACCCGTTTCAAGTTGAACTCACGAAGTGAATGCAGTGGGGAACGTTCGAAACAAGCACGTACCGTGCGTTACCCAGTATGCACCCCAGCCGGTCGAAAATGCAGATAAACCCCGGTTAAATTTTCTTGCCATTTTTGCGATTTGCCGTTCGATCGATTGATCGAAATACTAGCGATGTAAAGCGCAGCCGGAGCTCTTTGTTACACACAAGCATAATCAATTTGATGGTTAAAAATATAACACCCGCATCATAATTATGTCATAATAATATACAGGGTGTCCCCGTTCAACTGGTCAAAAATGCAAGGGTATATAGAGGAACCATAGAGAAGTAGTTTGAGGTAGGACATCGATGGTCGGAAGTGCGTCGTTTCCAAAATACAGGGTGTTGAAATTTTACAAAAAAATCGAATTTTTCCCTCTGTATTAAAAGCGCTTTTAGCGATTTTAATGAAATTTTCAGAATTCAAATGATAGGTGGTGATGCAACTTTTCAAGATTCTAAAAATTTCATTAAAATCGTTAAAAGCGTTTTTAAAACAGAGGGAAAAATTCGATTTTTTTTTTTAAATTTCAACACCCTGTATTTTGGAAACGACGCACTTCCGACCATCAGTGTCCTATCTCAAACTACTTCTCTATGATTCCTCTATATACCCCAGCATTTTTGATCAGTTGAACGGGGACACCCTGTATAATTGTCATCCATTCTGAGGCTCTTACTTTTTCGTGAATAAATCATTCTGATATTCAAATAGGTACCTCTCAATGATTCTTTTGATTAACAAAATTCTATGACTATCAAATAGAGACTGGTCAAAACTGTGTGTAACTAAATTGGAAAAAACATTTGAAAATATAAAATCTTCCAAAATATCGTTATGCAAGGAATCAAAGGAGATCCTTAATTCCAAGACCCAAAATAGAAATTCTGCGTTACAAAAATTTTTCGTTTTATCAATTAAACTTCCAAATATGTAATGATTTAGGAGATACAAACTTTTACAAACTTTCAATCCTAAGGAATCTATAGCTATAAGTATAACTTTTCAAGAGAAGAACCATTTACATATGGGATTTCAAATTGCTAATATTAATTTGTCAGCTAAATCTAAAAACTCATTAATGACAAAAAAGTTAGTTTCTGATAGAGGAAACGGTATTGTAGTAGATTCCTAGAATTTAAAATATTGACCAAATCGTTCATTAATTTAGTAAAGTCCACTGTCGTTTCAACATCTGCACAATCTTTTAGTCCTATAGTTGTAGAGCCGAGTGTAGAGCTATTGCAACACTTTCGCTGAAAACCTGTCCATATGGACGACGCCGCCGCCGCCCTTTCACGAGGGGGTTTTGGCATTGGTATCTGATGATGACACATCGCATAACATTTTTTCAAATGTTCTACTTTCATTCTATGGGAAAATAATAAATGCAAAACCAGCAGAAGCAAATATGAAATCCATTTATCCATTGTCGGTGCTGAGTCACTTTCCAGTGTCGAACTTCAAGGTGCTCCACACCCGTAGCTTCACACTCTAGTAATCCAAACAATAATGTTGTGTCACTGGAACGCACCCTTATAGCGTTTTCCATTTGTCGAACCAGTGCAAAAAAAATGTATCCTTAAAGCCTAGTCTCCATAGACGCGAAATCGCGGAAAGCGAATTTTTTAAGTGTCATTTTTTGGTGGCTATTTCCGAGCAAATTATTCCCATGTCTCCATAAGCGCGAAATTCGCGTTTTATTTAACAGGTTGAGGTTATATGTTGTTGTTTGTAATCAATTTGAATTTGATTTAAATGCTTTGAATTTCAAACACTAATCTTTGAAAACCATGAAAGTGATTACAAAAAAACAAAAAAAGATATGTGTCTTGGTGTTGTCTTAATTACATTTAAGGCCCTATTATAATCTTCCTCATCAACCAGCAAGCTGTAATTTATGTCTGTTTTCGGGTCTACAATATTCAATTCTTTGGCAGTATCCATTCTTTATTAGGTATCTACAAGTACAAAACACATCAACGACTCACAGAGGACAGAGCACATACCGACAAAAACATAAACAAAACTAAACTGAAAGTAACACCACATAACCTCATTTTTTTTTGGCGAAATTTCGCGGAAAGTTAAAAAATAGTTAACTTTTTTGCGACGCCGCAAGAAGTTAAAAAATTCGCGAATTTTTCCCGCCATAAAAAAATCAAATGTTAAATGTCAAATTCCAACCAATCGGAAAATATCCGCAAAAAAAAATTCGCGATTTCGCGTCCATGGAGACTAGGCTTAAGCCTAGTACTCATAACCGCGAAATTCGCTCTTTTTTGACATTGCTTGCGACAATTTGACGTTTGATTCACGCATAAAACGTCAAATTGTCGAAGCAATGTCAAAAAAGAGCGAATTTCGCAGTTATGAGTACTGGGCTTTATCCTTACATATTACATGCTTTTAGAAAAAGATGCGGATACACTCAGTGCGCACTGATTGACAAATGGAAATCGCCTTTACTTTGAAGGGGGTGTGACCCAAAAATGAAAGTTTTAGTGCAAAAAATCTAAGAATAATTATTCAAACCGCATCTTGCTACGATGGTCCGTTTTCGAGTTAGGGCGGTTTAAAGTTACAACTACGCTTTTGTGACGTCACACTAAATTTTCAGGGACAGTATTAACACGTCTGAGAATTCCCCAAAACTAAAGATAATTATCTCCTAGAGCGAATTGCAACCAATCAAAGTATAGGGTACGGTTCACTGACGATTGAACGACCAGAAGACTGCGATTGCGGCGGTTGTGACATCACAATTTCCTGCATAATTGATCTTCACAAGGAATTTTCTCGGAGACTATTCTGAATACAGGACTGCGATTTTCACGAGAGAGCTTAGAATTTTTTTCTTGATTTGAGTAGCTTAAGTCGTTTTTTAGGGTCACGTCCCCTTTTTAAGCATCGTGTTCTGATTTCACCCATAAAATTGGGTGAATAATAAGGCAGGGGAGAGGAAAAACGAACAGTTCAGTCGCGCGAAACTCTAATGCGCTGGAACTGGCACTGGCCGATAAACAGTCCGGGGCGCTCTAGAGCAGCTCTGGAGTGCTTAAAGTGCGTTACTGGAAATAATAGGGCTGTTTCTGCAGAAATCACAAACAAGTCAGAGCGAATTTCATTGGTTGAAAACAGTCAGAAAACTAGTTTCAATCAATGAAATTCACTCTGACTGGTTTGTGATTTCTGCAGAAACAGGCCTATAAACTGCGTTGTTTTGAACCGTTCTAGAACCGTCCTTTTTTCCAACCCGAACAGGGCCAAGTTTCGAACGCAGCTCCATTAACCTTTTCACGTGGCTCCGATTTAACAAACCGCAACATACCGCTCAAATTCGAGTGGTAGGTATCCATCACGTCACTTTGTAACCGGGTTAGAAAACGGTATGTCATTTCTCTAACCGTTTTGTAACCCGGTTAGTTAAACCGGAGCCACGTGAAAAGAACTATTCAGTTTTTAATTCATACTGTATTCCTTTTATAGATCGAGTTACACCGAACGAGCTCCTCGGAGTCACTCCAAAACACACAATTCAGATTTTATCATATTTTTTAATATTAACATTACCGTTATTACCTAAAAGGGCTTCTTGCACCTCCCGCAAATTTGGTGCAACAGGAGAAAGGGGGGTGCACTATGAGCGACTCGAGTGCTTAACGCACTTTTAAAAGGAACGTTCAAGCTTTTGACATTGAGTAGCCCCGAGTAACTCAACGGGTAAAAGGAATACTACACGCAACCAAAATAAACCTTTCAAAAACAGCTGGGCTCAAGTTGGAAGATCGAAAATCAAAATCAAATTTTAAGTTTATTTATAGATTATTTGATTTTTCCTTACTACTGTAATGTTGACATGTTCCAAAGACAAAATAATTTTATGACACTAATCTATAGCCCTAAAGTCTTTGCTGAAAATGATTTTTACCTGTAAATAGACTTGCTTTTGAGGTTCAAGCTCGGGTCTTCAGTATATTTTGCTCAACCTACACATCGTCCAAAATGGATTTAGCAAAATCCCTATTTGAAACTAGAAGTCATAATGGATATGTTGGAAAGGCTGATCATAATGTATGTAAAATATAGTAATTCGCCCACATTTTTAATAACTTAATCTACCTACTGTAGAAAAGAGAACTTGAATTGGCTATCGAACCAGATGATGCTGATGATTCTTTTATTGATAATTTTGATGGTTTCAACATAGAAGACTTTCTTAAACCAACTCCAGGGGGTCCATTTTTTGCCTTGACTCCAAGTATGTGGCCCCAAGAAATAATGGCCAAACAATCCAGGGAGCAAGAAGATCCAAACTCACAACCAGAGTATAGGTAAGTACAATATCAGCACAGTTTCACTTTTTTGTCATAGCAAATTTAGTAGGTACTTAAATACATGTTATTTATCCTTGAATGTTCGTCCTGGGCAACCCAGATTTAAAATTTTCTATGTCATCTTTCTAGGTATTTCTTCTACAGTCATGAAAAAGATAACTTCGCCTTCTTTTCTAATAGTTGGGTCAGAATTTCTCTACTTTTAGGTACCTATGCCTAAAGCCTAGTTCTCATGGTGCGGGATTCCGCATTGCGGGTCCGGAAATCGCAGTTTTTTGAAAATCGTAATTTTTGATGGTTCACATGAAACGGAATTCCGGATGCGGTTTTATGTCAAATACATGTGATCTTAACCTAACATATTTTTTGTTTTTGTTTTCCTGTGTGCCTGGATGGATAATTATATTGCACAATTAAATTATTATCAATGGAAAAGACAGAGGGAGGTATGAAAAAAAACAAAGTATCTGCTACTATGACGAGTAGTATATTCTTCGTAGTGTTTACTTTAAAATGAAGTAGATACTACATTTCGAAACTACCGGAAATTAGTAAAGTCTGTTTTTTTTTAAAGATAATTCCCCAAGTCAAAAATTTAGTAACTATGTTGGCAACACAAGCCTTTTCTACATAAAAAATTTGAAATCATTGACAATTTTACATTGTATTGCCAACATAATGTCATTTTGACTTTTATCTTTAAAAAAAAACAAATTTTAAATCCTTTGTTGTGAAGTAAATACTTCGTAGAATATACTACTACCTGTAGTAGTAGCAAGTACTTCGTTTTTATTCAGACTACCACCCAATATACGTTAGTATTGGGTTTGCTATTAATCCATAATATGCATGAAACTTCATCAAAGAAGCAGAATAGCAGAGGAATATTAAAAAAAGGAAGATGTTCAGAAATATTCTTCTGAAAAGGCATGAACAAGGGGTTTGCCGTAATAATATGTATTTGAAAATAAAACAAGCACACAAGCAAGCAGATCAATTTATTTTTGTTAGGTATTAATTGTTTTGTTTTTTGTTTGAGGTTAGTTTATTTGTTTATGTAGAAATCAAACAAAGATGAGAAATGTTTAGACAAAGACAGAAAAAAAAAAATCGCAAGAAAGTTGAAAATGGTTCAACTTTATTGCGGATCCACAAAAAAGTTGACGTTTTCCCGCCAACGGAATTATTTCAAAAATTCCGCACCCGCAATCCGGAATTCCGCATCATGAGAACTAGGCTTAAGACTCTAGTACAAGAAACAGCCCATGTAACTACCTATCTAGTTATTTTTATATGAAACTTCATGTGAAGAAGAGAACCCCCTTGAGAATCTCCTTTTAAATAGATAATATACCTTAGTTAGGAATCAAGTTAAACATTTAGTAGATAATAATATGATGTTTTATTTCAATTAGTAATAATAAATTATAAGTGGCAATTTTGTGATTTTATATTTTTCATAAGCAAACAATTTCAAAAAATATATTCTGATTTTTTGTTTGTTTGAAAACAGTAAGATCTAAGTTTTATGGAGCGTCAGTATACCTTGTCAGGTTGCAGCTTGCAGGTTCTAGAATGTTTGTAGGTACCAGGGTCATATCTAGGGGGGGGTTTTGGGGGTTCAAACCCCCCCAAAAAATAATAAAATTCAAAAAATTTAGCTTAAAAACAAATAACACTTATTAAATACTTATTTTTTTTTTATTACTAGTGTAACAATTTTTTTTTTTGCAACTTTGTCTAACCGCCCCAAAATTTTGAGATAGATACGGCCCTGGTAGGTACTCACCTGTCTATATTTTAGGTTTGATGAATTTGGGTTCAGAGTTGAAGAAGAGGATGGACCCGAACAAAGTTCAAATAAACTTCTTGGTATTCCATTGGTTGAAGATCCCCAGCACAGGTATGTTTTATTACTTTATCCAAAATAATTTTGCTATCTATCTTTTATAATATTTGTGATCAAAGATTTGTGGTGAACTACTAATAAGTACTTACATATCATCACAACTTAACATGCATGATGTAGTTTTTGTCACTCATAGTTTCATACTCACTCTCATACTTAATTTGCTTTATTGTCCAAAAAATAGAAAATTTTATTGACAAAGCGAATTACATAATATGTATTAAATAGTAAGTAGTAAGTACCTACATATCTATATCAGTAGGTATGCAATATCTTTCAAAACCTTAAAATTAAAATTAACACAAAGCCCAAACAATGAGCAATTTTCACAAATTAATATGTAATAAATAAATTAAAATTACATAAGTAAAAGGAACAAATCAAAACACCAAACATAAAAAAATAAATATATGGGTATAAAAAAAATCAAGTAAAAATTTAAAAAAAAATAAGACAATCATTCATAAAACATCACCATAATATTCCTCCAAGATGTAGAAGGCCCTCTCCAATAATATAGGTACCTACTCTTAGCACTCGTTCAAAATTGTTTATAGTCCGATATTGATTTCAATTCATAACTGAGGTAAATGAAAATTTTCTTGCTTTGTTTAGTCGGGGTGGATTTTGGAATTGGTAAACGTAGGTTCTTATTAGTGTGTGCTCTAGTATAGTACCTTACTTCCTCATTTATGGCCTCAAAAATCTCTGTCTATTCAGCAGTTTTCAATACAAAATTAGGCAACATTCCTGATCACCATTAAATGGAAGAATATGTATAAAGGAAATTAAACGCTATTAAGCCTAAAAAAATGTCAAAAGCAAATGAAAATTTGTAAATAAATGTAGCTTATAATAGACAAATCAAAAATCACAAAAATGGTATTAGACCTCGTATTATACATAGGACCAAAAATAATTAGTATACCTCCTACTATATGGTACATATGGGCGGTTACACACGGACGTGGATATCTTAATACATATATGTGCATACATCAACATGCAAACAACAACGTGCATGGCGCTTTTGTACAGACGCTCGCACAAAACTGCAGTCTTGCTATTCTCGCTACGGTGTTCCGAGTGTGCATACAAAATTGCACATTCAAAAACGCGACGATATTTTGCATACACATTGATGTTTTTGTTTGCACGTTCATGTATGTGCGTACATGTTTTCAGACATCAACGTCCGTGTGTAACCGCCTTATAAGTTCATTGGGTTTTATTTTCCTAAATAGTTTTTGCCTCTTTCTCATCTAATATATGTTGTTATTTTTGCATCTGATCAGAGTCAAAAGAAAATTATTGCGAATAACGTAGGTATTGTTTGCCCAGCGGATCTGAGTCTACGGAAGGAATTCGGACGTAAATGTGCCATGTTGTCACGTTTAATTATGACAAAGCGAAAATACTAGGCATGTAGTATAGTTCATTTGAAAATCGATTTTTTAATAGCAAAATATAGATACCAAATATAACGCTAAATATTTCAACGTGGTTGTTAGATCTATTCTTATTCTAATAACTGATTTCTTCAATTTTGTCCATTGTAAAAAATGTACTAAAATCCTTTCATGTTTTATACAGGCTGCAATGGGTTGCTCATTTGGAGTTTTCTCATAATCAAGAAGTATCTGATTTAACATGGGACAAAGTTGAGATTAGAATACCTAGGACTGATAAGCTACTTCAAATGGTGAGTTGAATCTCCTGATATATTTTTTTTTTTATTATTAACACTGCATTTTACCTTTTCTTTTAGGTGAGATCTGGTATCCCACATTCCCTAAGACCACAAATGTGGATGCGCATGTCCGGTGCATTAGAAAAGAAACATCAATCTGAATTAGGCTACAAAGAAATTGTTAGAATGTCCAGCAACGATTCCCTTATGACATCCAAACAAATAGAAAAAGATCTACTCCATATTATACCAACCAATGCTTGTTATAGCAATGCTAATAGTACAGGAATTCCTAGATTGAGGCGCATTTTGAGGGGTGTCGCTTGGTTGTATCCAGATATTGGGTTAGAATCTTTTGATTATTATTCTATTTAGGGCTTGGCGAGACCCCAGACTAATTTCGGTTTGGATTCGGGACTGAAACTAATGGCGTTTTCCATTTGTCGTCTCAGTGCAGCATTCAGTGCGCACGAGAATTTGTCTAGTGCTGTCAAAAACGCGCACCAGTGCAATATAAATGGAAAGCAAAAATGCAGGCTCGGCTCAGATTCTCCCCCAGACTTTTTTGGGGTTATGTAAAATCATATGTTGGTTTGTTGTTTTTGTTTAGCACTTGCCAGTTTCTGCTTCCTGCTCTGCATGTTTTATATAGGCTGTTCATTTGTACTTGCTACCTGCTCAAAAAATCAGGATGATCTGCTATTTATGAGCTTATTATATGGGAGTTATGGGACAAGTGAACGTCGGTCAGCTGCTGAGATCTGCTTGAAGCAATAAAAGCAGTACTTTCAGAATTGATGAAGAAATCATACGTAATAAATATTTAGTTCGATGGTCCAGATCATTTATTTAAAATTACAGCTTCCTTCTAGTTCTTCTCCGCGGTTTCACCTGCTGTTGAATTTGGAAGAAATTGGACTACCTACCTATAAATAATTTAGAGTACTTCGCATCAGACAATATTTTTAAACAACAATAAACAATAATAATATACCTATAAACAACGTGGATAAGCTGCGAAATTCGCTCAAATAATATAATTTCGTCATCGAATTCAACTTCGCTGCAGCCAGATATTAGATCCAAAAGTGCAACAACTTTTTCTTTGGAAATTAGCAGACATTTTTATGTAGGGTACATGTAAACATAAACAAAACAAACTGCACTGGCTCTCCACGAGCCTTCCTAGCTCGTGCCAAAAAATGCGCACTGAGTGCATAAATAATTGCACTGAATTTCAAATGGAAAATGAAAATTGAAAATGTGCAGTCAAATGGAATATAAAAATTGCACTGAGTGCACCTCTGTGCAAAAAATGGAAAACGCCATAAGATCGCGTGAGTTTCGGTCTCGAAAAAAATAAAATAAAATAATACCCATTTTTGGATTTCACTTACGTACTAGAACTTTCACCAAACTATACTATTTTTATGACCATAATTTCATTCCAGAGTGGGCGCAAGGAAATAAAGCAAAGGAAAACTCAGCATATTTTTGATTAAGTTATCGGTAATAATTCAATTCAATAGTTCTTTTTCAAACGCGTAGTAAAATTAATTGACAGATAATCAATAAATTACTGAGAAATTAGGAAAATTTAATACCCATGAAAAATACGCTATTCTTCACAATTAGTTATTCACAGATAAAAATAGTTTGAAATGAGAAGAATATGATATCCATAAGTTTCACCGCAATACGGGTAGGTTATTTATGGTCCAAAATTCGGAGATCGCTAGAAAAACAATGATGTGAAAAATGATAAAATCGATGAAGGTCAATGATCAATGAAAATATAGTGTTTTTTTTTTGAAGGTGTGAAAAAACCTAGCTATGCTATTTTGATCATAAAATTTTCAAGACCGCCAAGGCCGAGACTAACCAACTCTTGTCTCGGAACAATGATACCAATACCGAGACTGTACAGGTTTTTCAAAACCGATATAAAGTCTGTGCCAGTCTCGGTCTGGGTCTCGCGAGACCCTAATTCCAACAGTAATCAGCGAACAAGCAAATTTAACTTGTTTTTTGCTTCCATACCCTAAATATATGTAATGTATTTAGGTACTGCCAGGGTTTGGGAATTATTGCAGCCTCTTTACTACTTTTTATTGAGGAAGAAAACGCTTTTTGGATAATGGTAACAATTGTTGAAGATCTACTTCCTGCTTCATATTACAGTTCCACCCTCCTAGGTAAATTCACAATTTTTTTTTATTCTTTAGTTTCATAAACTATTTTTTGATAATCATCATTGCAAAAACACCAACAACATTTTAAATGATTGACTAGAGCCTTTGTCAGTGTTTGGGAGAGTATGTACAATATATTATAAATGAAAAATCGAGATTGTTTGTAAAATTTCGGTGCTTGATTTCAGCATTTTTACACAATCAATTCAAGAGAGGTACAAAAACATTTGATTTTTACAGGTATCCAAGCAGATCAAAAAGTTCTCCGCAACCTCATATCAAATTACCTGCCAGATACAGATGAAGTCCTAAAAAATCATGACATCGAATTATCATTAATCACTATGCAATGGTTTTTAACTTTATATGCAAACGTCGTTCACACCAAAATTTTGCTCAGGATATGGGACCTTTTCTTTTTCGAAGGCTCCATGGTTTTATTTCAGATTACGCTCGCCATGTTGAAGATTAAAGAACCGCAACTCAAGACACTTGAAAATTCTGCTCAGATTTTTAATGCGCTTTCTGATATACCTGGTGATATTGATGATGTAGACAAATTGTTAGAGGTTAGTATATTATGCAGAAAAACTGGTGAAACAAGTATCAAATTCTGACTTGTACAAAATATGTCCTAAATCTTTAATGTGGCAAGACATACCTACATATTTTATTTTTACTTCTTGCATAAAAAATGATAAATTCTTAAAATTGATAGTAATCAGTTTAGGTTGATAACATTTGAAAAATTGTTTTTTATGACACTAGTATCCAACTTTTCTAATCATAGTACAGGACTAAAATATCTAATTTTTGTTAATTCGTTCTCCAGTTTCATATCATGCAATCAAGCAATGTGCATGTGCACATGAACGAAATAATTTTGTATGTGCATATAGTATATTAATGCAGGTACAGGAATGTAGGTATGAATTATGAAATGTTGATTATTTGCGTAATTTCTGAAATGATCAGCAAATATATCAATACTTTGCATTAATGTAGTTATATTATGTTGTTAATTAATTTTATTTTGGTTATACTCATATTTTTAATAGGTATTAACCGAACTAACAAGTTCATTGAACGATGTAATGATTGAAACCTATAGAAGAAGACATTTGGCTTATTTAATGGCTGACCAAGGAGCGTTAGTTGGTAACCCAGATGCAGCGGCTAATTTACCTAAGCAGCATTTAGTGAGGTACGTATGTATATTTTGGTTTTTGTTTTTTATCAATTAAATCTGAATGCTAGATGCATTTAGTGCAGCTCACGGTACGATTTAGATCTATTCATCAACACACCCTTGTCTAAAGAAAAGAATCACACCTTGGAGCCCTTCCTGGGAATGTGATTTGAGAATTGAAGGGTAAAACTGAATTCTCCACCGATCGTCAACATTTCTCAAAAAATTGACAGTATTTTTCGACTTATGAATGTCGACCCAGTTAAGTACCACTGACCTGTGATCTGATCAACTGGGAAATGAAAAGTATGATTAACTGGGGTAGGTACCTACTAATAGTGTCACACAATCTCATCTATTAATATGATGCCAAAGGAAACATTATCAGAAAACGTCGCGCCATTGGTAGGTACCCGCTGGCCGCTACATTAATAACGCATGAGAAATCCTAATGAATGTCACAATAATCAACATTGAAAAATGTACACAACTCAGTCAAAATAGTTCTCTTTATAGACAGCTCCTATATTTTATCAGATGACAGTGGAAGCATGGACAATTCAGGAAACTGTTGTTGTCGTAGACAGTAAGAGAAAATTTCTTAGCTTAGAACTGCAACCAGTGGCCAAAGCAGTTCTTAATACAGAAAGGGAAGCAATAAATAAACTTCTTGAAACTGAACATAATTTTGCTAGTGAAGAAATCATTAAACAACAAGAAATTTTTTTGGTGGAATTAACAAGAGACTTGGAAAGCACAAGTGATAATGATCAAAATGGAGATCAAAATAAGACTAGACATAAAAAAATAGACAGTCTTTAAGAAGGGGTAGATCAAGCAAAAGCTGTGAAATTTTCTTTTAAGTATCTATAAGTAGAAACTGAATTAGTGATTGTGGGATACCTTTTCTACTATTTGAAAGTAAGTAAGTAGGTACCTACCCAATTGAAAAAATGCACATATCAAAATCAGCGTTACCATTACAATTTTCAAAATTTCACTTGTTGTATTGTCACTTTTTTTGCAAATTAGTGGTGTAATTGTGTTAATTGTCGTTTCCTCGTAACAAATATTCAAAGCAATCAAGATTATTATCCTATAAGCAAAGAATTCAAAATAATATATCGAGTATTACATAGATTCTTGCAGCTAGCTCTGCAATTGAGGTAGTGCGGCATATGACTATTAGATGTTGACAATTTATAGGTACCGTCCTTTTTCTTTGCACATTAGTTTGTTAGGTGAATTTTAAGAGGTACCACTGTCAGAATCCATAAACCGGGTCTCTAGGAGATCCTTTCCGGGCTGGTTTTTCGGTTTAACTTGACATGACACTGAAATTTCAAATTACACCCCTTTTTGTATTTTTTCACATTTTTGAGGATCATTATGTGTATAGCTGTATACATTTATTACTAAATTTAAAGTGCCAGAAAGGGCTTGAACCTGATATGTGAAAGACTGACAAAATAATATAAATGCGTTCTTTTTATGGTGCTCCAAAGGAAAATTAAGCTTCATGTAATAGCACTATAACACTTTGCTTATACACATCTTTCGTCAATTAGTTACAAAATCGAAGGACAAAGTGGCATTAAAAAAAATAGTCATAATTGAAAATTTCCAGTTCAGTATTCACTCTATTTTGCTCGCTATTATAAATCTCACTACTCCTGATGTAAGAAGGTTGAATCCATGAAGTTTGAAAGCATTTGTAGAACAAGTTACTGATAAAAACAATGCATTTGTATTTGCTGGTAGTCGTAATTCGAAAATAAATGTTTATTGAAAATATTCAAATTTTCTCAAACAGTTTCAAATAAAGTTCATCATAGGTTTTCATTAGAACCATTATTTTTGCTTCATGAGTATCTAAATCGTTTTTATCTAATCCTTTTAATTTGAAAAAAGTTTCCAATCCTTGACAATATTGGTCAAAATTTTCATAATTTTCATTAAAGGATTCAAAATTTATTATTTGATTTTAAAGAGGCTCCTTAAAGTTGCCTGATCCACTTACTTGGCGTTGTTGTAATATATTAACTAATCCGCGGAGTGCTGCTATTAATGGCGCTAGTTCTTTAGACATATTAAATATTCATCTTTATTTCTCCGATGATTTCCCTTGAATTTATCTTCTCTTATTTTATCTTCTTTCTGCTATCTTCTCCTCGTCGCCAAATTGTTATATGTATTTTGCGAGAAATTGCTATGCTGTAGATGTAACCATCTAATAGGTATAATTCTGGTGTCACAGTGTTTCTAACAATACTCCTCTGAAACGGCTTGACCGATTTTTATGAAATTTTATATGTATATTCGGTAGGTCTGAGAATCGGTCGTTATCTGTTTTTTATACCCCTAAGTTAGACGGGTGTTCCACCCCAAATTTTTTTTTTTTTTTTTTGGACAACATTTTTTATTTTTGTTTTTATGATGTGGCATCAAAAAATACATACAACCCTAAATTTCCACTTTTTTACCACCAACACCTATTTTTTAATAGCGATATTAGCTGACCCGGGTACTGTTCTTTTCGATATAGTCGAGTTAATTATCTACTAATAGTACTGATAAAGCTGAAAATTTTTCAGTCGATCTGAAACCCTACCGGATCGAGAATAGAACGTTGGGCGAAAATTTAAATGTTAAATTCACTCCAATGTTGGCATACTTACTTATAATCAGATTCATCTTTCTCAATATTTCAGGCAACTCAATAAAAAGACGAACAGTATTCCCTCGCCAAAAACTATTTGTTCAAGTGATTTGTTAGTGGAATCAAGTAGTGATAAAGGGTAAGGTTATTGCTAACAGGAAATCAAATGCATGCGTTTGGTCACAACTCCTTCAACTATGTATTTTCACTTACTGAAAGGGAAGACCCATATTCGTAGGACTTTTTCTATTTTGATGAGTTATCAGTTTATAACCCCACTTCTGGAACACCCTCTGTTACATTACTAGAACTAGAGCTGGTGTGATACGAACATGTTCGACCATTCCTGATTCCATTACATATTGTCACGGATTCCGGGTCCACTAAAACTTACTTCTGAAATAGTAACTGTAACGAGGGTTACTAAATTTTCCGTGCATCCCGGTCACTCAATTAGTTAAAAATTAGCGCGAGTTCAATCAATCGGATTTTATGAGACTCACCCCGGGGTGGAGTAGATTCTGAAAGGGGTTGCAACCCGCTGCAGTTCCCCATAATCGCGTGACCTCGAATTCTCCGCACTGGTAGAGTGGATACGACGCGCGATCGTCGCCGTACCCACACTTCTTGCGCGCAACAGTCGAAGCCGGTATCAGGATTTTTGGCTATAAATATCGCCGCGCTGCAAGAGAACGGCATTCCGTCTCCGATTCCGCTTCCGACTCCAGCTTCGACCAGACCAGCCGCCAGCCAAGGTACGCCGACCTCCGCCGCCTTCAGCCTCTGCGACGCCGTCATCCGGCGCCGCGACGCCACCTTCAGCCGCGACGCCGCCTTCAGCCGCCGCGGCGCCGTCAACAATGGTAAAGGGTAAAGTAGAGTGAGAGGGCCGGTATTTTCTTCTAAGGGGTATAAGGATCATAGATTGTATAGCGTGCTGCCGGACCCAGTGGCAACTGCCCCCCCCCTTTTTCAAAATAAAATAATAAAATTTAAAAAAAAAGGAAACAAAACCATATTTTAACTTTCAAAAATGTTTAAAAAGCTGGAAACCTATAAAAAATCACACTTTTGTCCCAAGAACTTTAACATCAAACAGTTAGCACTATTTGTCACTACCTAAGTAGCGCTTGAGTTGATGTATTGTTTTTTTTTTTGTTCTAATAAATAAATATTCATAGAAAATCAATAATAGTAGGTCGTTTCTGCAGAAATCACAAACCAGTCAGACTGAATTCCATTGGTTGGAACTAGCTTTCTGTTTTCAAGCAATGAAATTCGCTCTGACGACCGGTTTGTGATTTCTGCAGAAATAGATCTATCATGTACCATCGTACCAAAAGTAATTGGGAGAGCATCATATTAGCTCCTGCATTATTATATGATTTTAGATGTCAGGTATTTGCCAAACTGTGAATAATTTTAGGTTTATCTAGGTTAACTTGGAATAGTCCAGGAGTCCAGGAGATTAACATGAATTATTTTTCTCCTAGTTACTTTTGGTGACGATGGTACCTACCTATTTAAAATCACCTCATTCTTCTAAGTAGTTCCCCCATTCCCATAATGTTTAAGGGCCATTCCTTGGAAAACCCGTATCTTGCACAATGCGCCGCCAAAACTAACCCAAACTGCGGATTGAATAGCGTTACGGCTCTATTCTCTCCGTAGAGGATTGGTGGGGACGTCCCGACTGAACCGATACCGAGTGACGCACCCCTCTAATTCTGTCCTTCTCTTTTCTTCGAACCAATCGAACCTGCACTCTACTCAGTTGCATAGTTCGCGCATGCGCCTGGAATACGAGCTGAAGGTGGTAGGAGTACGGAAGCCTAGCGACAGTAATCCCTTCTTTTTTTTTTTACGGATATGCGCACTCGCAAGGAAATGTCCTATCACGCTCGAGAAGCGGCAAGTGCGCGGATATGTCGGTGTATGTTGGTCTTGAAACGGTTCAGGTTGTAACCTGCAGGGAAAACCGTCGCAGGGAGTTTATTCCACAGCGATGCTGTTCTCCAGAGATATGAATTCTGATATAATGAGGTTCTTGGTGCCTCTAGTTTGACAGTAAATTCATGGTTACCGTCTGTTTGACGGGTTCGCCTGGTAGGTGCTACTCTCGGTGGAATCATACGTGCCAACTCTTCAGAGCATTTTCCGTGATAGTACCTGTAGAAGAGAGATAAATCGCCCACAGATCTGCGATGTTCGAGACCATCCAAGTTACGAGTAAGTGCGGGGTCATTGATCAGCTTGATAGCTCGTTTTTGCACGGTATTCAAAAGCATTAAGGTATGTTTGGGTGCTGCACTCCATATATGTGAGCAGTACTCCATAGTTGGTCGAATCTGGGCTTTGTAGAGTGTCAGCAATTGGCTTGGTGTGTACAGATGTCTTGTACGAAATAGCACCCCCAGCTTTTGGGAGGCCCTTTTAGCAATATCTGCCACGTGACTGTGCCAAGACATGTTGGTCTCTGCAGTAACTCCCAAGATGTTCAACTGAGTCTGTAATGTACAGCACTTCCAGATAGCATGATGTTTGGCTCACCGGTGCTGGTCTTTTTTGAAAACAGAGCTGCTTGGGTTTTCTGCGCGTTGAACTGTACAAGGTTTTTGTTACCCCAGTCCTCTATTATCTCCAGGTCGTTATTTATCTGCGATATTTGAGTTAGTCTAAGATGATGGAATTCACGTGCGGAAAGACCTGTGGGTGGTATGAGTGAGGAGACTACATTGCCATCGTCTGCAAAGCAATAAAGTGGATTTACTGTTTTATCTATGAGGTCATTTATGTAAATCAGGAAAAGAGTTGGCGAAAGGATTGCTCCCTGTGGCACACCAGCATTTATTTGGTAAGAGTTGGAGTTCTGGCCATCCAGTGCAACATAAATGGATCTGTCCTTTAGGTAACTTTCAAACCAAGTGCAAAGTTTCGGCGATAATCCCATTGCTTTGAGCTTGTTGAGCAGATTTTCATGCCAAACTTTGTCGAATGCTTTAGATATATCTAAGGCAATTGTTCTTGTTTCACCCCGCAACTCAATCGCTTTTTGCCATAAGTGAGTGACGTATGTAAGTAAATCGCCAGTTGACCTATATTTTCGAAATCCGTATTGCTTATCGTTGATAATGTTGTACTTTTCCAAGTACTTGGTTAGGTGATTGTTCACAACTCTTTCCATTACTTTTGATATCACCGGAAGTAGAGCAATTGGTCTATAGTTTAACGGATCTGTCGTTTTTCCTTTCTTTGGAATGGGTTGTACTGCGGCAGACTTCCATGATGATGGATATACTCCTTGCCTGTAAGACAAATTGAATAATTTTGCGAAAGTTGGGGTGAGTTCGTTGGCGCAATTGTTGAGTACTATTGCGGGAATGCCATCCGGACCCATTGCTTTGTTTGTATCCAGCTTTTTTAGGGATTTTCGTATTTCTCTGTGACAAAAGGGTACCTCTGGCATACTATGGGAAACCCTTTCAATGAACGGTGGAGTTTTTCCGTTTGGCACTGTTAGGTTGGAGTTGGAGGAAAACATTTGGGCAAGCATATTGGCTTTTTCCTCTGATGTTGTGGCTAAGTGATTATTTTTATCTGTAAGTGGTGGTATGGATGACTTGGTGAAGTTAGATCCAACAGCTTTTGCAAGAGACCAAAAAGACCTAGAACTACTTGGACAATTCAGCAACCTGTTTTTTATTCTTTGATTGTATGTTTCTTTAGCGGAGTCAATAGTAATTTTGCAACTATTTCTGGCTTCTATAAATTCTGTGTGGTTTTGAGCGGTTTGTTGTCGTTTCCAAAGGTTATATGCTCTGTGTTTTTTCTGTACAGCCGTTTGACACTGGCTGTTGAACCAAGGTTTTGCATTAGCTCTACGTTTAGTTGTATGTGGGATATATGCGTCCATTCCAGATAAGATTACTTGTGTTATTTCATTACAGCAAATAGTGGGATCAGCTGTTTTAAAGCAAACCTCTTGCCATGGAAAATCCAGGTAATACTGTTTTAGGTCATTCCATTTTGCCGATTTATAGTGCCACATTTTACGAGGAAGTGGTTGTAGGCTTGGTGGGATCAGCATTTCGCACTTTGTTATTATAAGTTTATGATCGGACGAACCAAGTGGAGCATCTACTTGAATTGTGTACAAGTCAGGATTGGTGATTAGGAACAAGTCTAAAAGCGCTGCAAATTCGCCCCTTTCTGAGATACGGGTAGGTTCATCGACAAGCTGCGTTAGACCACAACCCTTGGAGCTATTTACCGAAACTGTTATTTTCCGCAGTACTATTTACCGAAACCGTTATTTTCCCGCAATCCTATTTACCGATACCCTTATTTATCCGCGATCTTATTACCGCGATTCTCCGCCACGTACAGGGTGATCCAGTATAAAGTGAACACCCCCTACCTTTTCGCTAAAGAAAATTTTTTTCAAAAAATAAAGATAGCCATTTGATGTATTTTGTTTCTAGGTGTTTGAGAATGTTTTTCAAAATTTAATTAGATTTTTCGTTAAAGCGCTGTGACCAAAGAAGTAATTTTTTTAAATGGAATAACCTATATTTAAATCAATTTTTTAAACGTCCCTATTTTTCTCATTTCAAATATATAGTTTGTTTATCTTTATTTTAAACATTTGCGATATATTCTCACTTCAAAATTCAAATAAAAATAGCCGAAAAGGTATCAAGGTAAATCTAAATAATTTTACCTTTAATAAAGCATAAATGTTTCATGATACCTTTTCGGCTATTTTTATGTGAATTTTGAAGTGAGAATATATCGCAAATTTTTAGAATAAAGATAAACCAACTATATATTTGAAATGAAAAAAATAGGGACGTTTAAAAAATCGACTTAAATATAGGTTATTCCATTTAAAAAAATGACTTTCTTGGTCACAGCGCTTTAATGAAAAATCTAATTAAATTTCGAAAAACGTTCTCAAATACCTAGAAACAAAATACACCAAATGGCTATCTTGATTTTTTCAAAAAAATTTTTTTTGCGAAAAGGTAGGGGGTATTCACTTTATACTGGATCACCCTGTACATAGTATTTACACATTCTTCTCGCCGACTTCGTTCCACTCTCCCCGCTCTTCGTCTCTCATTTAATTGCATTTGTCACTGTTCCTTTTATCTTATGTTATTGGGCAAATAAAACTTTAATTTGTAAGTTGGATTCTGTGTTTCATTTTGAGGATGCGCATATTGACCTCTGGTTTTCCGTCTCCACTACCTAGTGCACGTGAGCCCTTAACCACTTTAACCACTATAATCCTAAGGGTGGCGCCCGAGTTTTCCGGAAACCCCGAACCGACCGCTTTCTCACCGGAAAACCAAAGTAGCGCTACATAACAACTTTTCTTGCACAAATTGACTTATCGAAATGTACACGACATATCTCGTAGGTACATATTCAATCTAACTGACCTTCCAGAGGACTACTGCGCGCTGTTTATAGATGATATTGTACTCCGGATATTACTAGAAATCTTATTTTCTCGAATAAAGAAGAAATTCCCAGACTAGACGTAACAAGTGGGTTCCTAGAATTCTGGCCGGGTGGTCGATGCAATTTCCTCACAATATTTTCATCTTTAATCACATTATAAAATTTATCAACAAACCTACTTCATTGTCGATTATTTGATCCAAAAAGTTAACCAGTATAAAGCCTTTTCACGAAAGCCTTTATTAATTTAGTCAAAAACTGTACTTTTCTTTTACTGCAGTTTATACACACCAACCATCTTAACTTGAATTTATATACCTTCTAACGTCTTTTATATTCTTGAACCTTTTAATATATTAATACTCAGAGTACTGACATGTTTTATTTAAAGAAACTCACCCTAAAATGCATAAAATCTTTTTTTTAGGAGGCAAGTAAAGAAAAACAAGTCCGTTATCCAACTATTGCTTTTCAATGAAACCAATGAAGAGCAAATTAAAAGTAAAAATATCAAGCAAACAGAAATACTTGTCGATCTTAGGGAAGCAATTCTTCAGGTAAGTCTCTTTATTTTAGTATTAACATGAACTGAAAAATTGCTCGTCTTATCTCTTTTTTAGGTAGTTAGACATTTTTTACAATTAGATCCAAAAATAAGCTCAGAAATATCATTAATAGCCGATTATTCAATGGAAAGCCATGCTCAGGATCACACGAATTATATAAACGTCTCAAAAAATAGAAAACGGAGAGCCAAAGCGCTGCTAGATTTTGAAAGACATGACGATGATGAGCTAGGGTTCAGAAAAAATGATATCATCACTGTTATTAGCCAAAAAGATGAGCACTGCTGGGTAGGAGAATTGAATGGGCTGAGAGGTAAAATTTAATATGATTTTTCAAAATACCTTTCTCATAAAAAAAATTTCAGGTTGGTTTCCGGCAAAATTTGTACAGTTATTAGACGAGAGAAGTAAGCAATATAGTAGCGCTGGTGATGATAGTATATCAGAAACAATTACTGATTTAGTACGAGGAGTATTGTGTCCTGTGATAAAACAAGTTTTTGAACATGGAATGAAACGTCCAAATTTTTTAGGCAAGTTAAATTATTTATATGTATATTTACATGACATGTATCACGTTAAATTTAATAATTATGTTTTTTTTTTTGGGACAATGCCACAAATTAAAAAAGAAACACTCAGTGTCTCATGAAAGTTTTCGCAATTACTTAATTGCTTTATCAGTCATTCATATACATGTATCTACACATATATGCAGACTATTTCCTAAAGAACTGCATTCTACTTTTGTTTTTTTGGGATATGTCCCTATATAGAATTCCATCTTTATAGTAGTCTCTGTGATGAAATAGTTGTGTCCATTCTTTTTAAGATTGTTAATTTGCCTTCCAACAAGTGGACCGAATAGCTTCTGTAGCAAAATACCCTTTTGTACTTTTTGTTTCTATAGAAAAAAAATAAATAAACGATCACTCTTAAATTGTTTAAATTCAATTTTAGGTAGCCCATGCCATCCCTGGCTATTTATAGAAGAAGCAGCCACCAAAGAAGTCGAAAAAGACTTTAATTCCGTTTATAGTAGATTGGTTCTATGTAAAACTTATAGATTAGATGAAGATGGCAAAGTTTTGACACCAGAAGAAGTAAGTGTTTGAATTATTTTTAATTGACTGTAGAATTGTGTAATTTGCCTTTTTCATTTTGTTACTTCTCGTGCTTAGTTTTAAGTTTTGCTAATTACTGTAAATGACATGTCCAATGAATAAATAAATAAGTAAACTTTATAATTAAATTTAAGTGTTTCCAGTTACTCTATCGATGCGTCCAATCCATCAATCTGTCCCACGACAATGCACATGCTCAAATGGATGTCAAACTGAGGTCACTTATCTGCATTGGATTGAATGAACAAGTTTTGCATCTTTGGCTCGAAGTACTTTGCTCATCAAGTGAGGTTGTGCAAAAATGGTATGAATTGTTTTTTTTTTTTTTTTTTGGTCCCATAAAACAATGCACATTTTATAATATAATTCATCAGAGCTTAGGCGGCTTGTCAAAATTTGAAAAAAATCTTAATTTTTACAATAAACTTAATTAAGATTTCAATAACTTTTGTCCGGTTAACAATAAATAATTAAAATAACTTTCCTAAATATGTAAAGCTATGGGATCGTATTTAGCAATATTCTGATGAGTCGCCACTTTGACTTCAAAGATAATGTTTTCCTTCAAAGATTTCAGCAAATTACACAGCAAAAATAACTACTCTGGTTATTGGCTATATGGGTGAGGGAATTTTATTTAAAAGCTCACAAATTGAAGATGGCCATAAAACAGTTGTAAAATAAGTCACTCATCTCCGTATTATTAAAGAACAATTACTTAAACATCTCTGCATAGTTGAACTTTATAGGTTGAATTGATCTTCATGACTGTAGCTAGATAATAAAATGATTACTTTAGTCCTTTAGTTTTCAATGTCTTACTGTTATTTCTATATTGGACAAGAAATCCAATAATCAAGTGGCCGACTTTTCATAAACCATTCATGCTCCTCTGAGTTTCGGGATGTCATATTAGATCAAGATGCATCAATATGTGGTAAAACGGGATCTGACAAAAATCCATTCACTATATTAACTTGACGTTTCTTAGCTATTATTGTATAATTTCCGGCAGATTGTGTTTATATTTTTTTTTTTGTGTGTTGCAAGATTTGCATATCAAGAAAAGCTTTCAAAGGTAGCGTATTTAATAAACTCTCATTTGCGCTGCTGGCATTTCATTTGATTTAAGTTTTTTGCTAACCCACTACAACACCTATATCAAATTGAATCTGTGTTGTTTAAATAATAAATTTAAATTTTATTTCTAGGTTCCATCCATGGTCTTTCATCTACAGTCCCGGTTGGGTTCAAATCAAATGTGAACTAAGAATATTATCTCAATTATCTTTCAATTTAAACCCAAACTGGGAATTGCCTGTAAAAAGAGAAACAAACAATCAACCTTTGAAAGACGGAGTGCGGGATATGTTGGTCAAACATCATTTATTTAGTTGGGATATCTAACATTTGAAAGTATTAGACCTAGACTTTTCAATCTATCAGACCATTTACAGGGTGTATCATTGTTTAAACATAGCCTTAGTGCTAAGTAAACGACTGCCCAAAACTGAAAAAGAGTTTAAATATCTATACAGGGTCTCCCTGGGAAAACAGTCCACCCCGATTTATTGGATCTGGGATGAGAATCTGGAAAAACGCTCGGACACGTCGATTTTTGATTTGTAGGGGAACTGTTTTTCAGTTTTTTTCATCCCTGTAACTTCAACCCTCTAGCTAGAGGGAGGACAACCCCCAAATTTGAATAGGGGATCGGGGTCGTGTCATATCTCTTTTTAAAGGTCTTATGGAGTTCTTTATGGCCCTAGAATTTCATCTCATTATTTTCATTCGTAACGAAATGACAGCAGTGGGAGTAAAAGCGATACTTACCTCCCTTTATAAAAATACTTGAAATTGAAGTTTTTTATTATTATTATTGATGAGTTGTACACGAGAATTGTAAATTGTAGTTATTTTTACTCGTATTTTTATTAAGGGAGGTAAGTACCGCTTTTACGCCTACTAATTCCAAAATTTTGACAAGCTGTCATTTCGTTACGGATGAAAATAATAAGACGAAATTCTAGGGCCATAAAGAGCTCGACCTTTAAAAAGAGGTATGACACGACCCCTATCCCCTATTCAAATTTGGGGGGTTGTTCTCCCCCTAGTTAGGGGGTTGAAGCTACGGGGATGAAACAAACTGAAAAATAGTTCCCCCTCAAATCAAACATTGACGTGTCCGAGCGTTTTTCTAGTTTCTCATCTCAAATCCAATAAATCGGGGTGCACTGTTTTCCCTAGGAGACCTCGTATAGTCAGCTTAATGTTTTAAGGTCGCAAGGAAATTTTAGGGCTGAATCTAAAATATTACTTAAATTTGCCAGATTTTTTTTCTGAATTTTACAAATCATCCAACTAGCATTATTTTGCAACAGGCCCCGAAATAAGCTTTCGCGGCAGCCCCACAGGCCGCAAAATTCTATTTCGCTGCCGTTACCCTTGGTAATAATAAATCAAAATTTCAATGTGATTTGAACTGATAATATTTACTTCTGATGGCATATCCATAGAAATACAGTGAGTACCATACCCCTCTGTATATTGAACTGGTGGTTGGTTCCACAAGTTTGTTAATTTTTCTGTAATTCTACATAATATACATAGTTGCACAAAAAATACTGTGTTTTCTAGGTATACCATAGCAGCGAAACCTTTTAGCGTCCTCGAGATTATCTTTTCTCTGCGCTGAAAACGAATTTCGAGGCCTTGGCATATAAATAAGTATTAATTTAAATGAGCATGATATAAATCATTAATGTTAACTTAAGTATAAGTATTAAAACATAACTATATGGCCAATCCAAATATTAGCTATTAACTTATAAGCTCTGTAACACAAACTACTGGATATGATAAGTTTGAGCATATTTAGGTGTCGAAATATGTTCTTTTAAAAGATTCCACTTGTAACGTGTACCAATAAAAATTTATTTTTTTTGTGAAAATTGAATTTCAATCTTCTGAAGCATTGGCACTAAACTATTTAGTTAAAATTATAGATTGGCAGTTTTCTCAAGAACCGGTAATTATTTTAGGCCGCACCTTAACATAAACCATAAAAATATCTTTTTTACGCATCTTTACGACACCAATTATTTTTTAACTGTAAATGCTATACCTAATGCCTTCTATAAAATGTACCCACGATAATTGTTGTGGAAAAATATATCACAGAGAAATTATTTTTCTAATAATTAACTTACTAATATTAATGTTGCAATTTTATTTATTTATTTAAATTAATTTATATAAGTATAATTTTTGTTGATTATAATGAAGTTTATCTGTTTTATTGGTCAAGTATATACGTAATAACTTAATAAGTAGATAATTAATTATAGTTTGGTCTAATTTATTTTTCAAGGATAATAAATTATTACAAGATAGATAACTTGTTTTAGTACAATTGCATCTCTTAAATTGAAGAAAAATTTTAACAGTGAATCATAAAAATTTCCTCCCAATCTGTTGAGCAGAAAAAATATTGTTCCCAGGTAAGTCAGGTAAAACGATATAATTTTTATGCTACTAGTTGGACCAGTAGTTCATAATTAAAGCAGTTGTTGTCTTAATAGTTGTTCAAAATGTTCTCCTTTGATCTAGATTAACGAATTTGACACGTCGGTCGTTAAATTCAACAAGGTTTTCAATGGACCAAGGTCTGTAACTATATGTGGTTAGAACACATTCAAACTCCTGATTATCTTTGTCGCATTTTTTGACAGTGATGTGATACATAACTGCATTAAAAATTGAGTTGGAAAGTGCCACTTACTCCATAGCAACTCTTTACCACATAGCAACCATTACCAGTTCTTTTCCCTTATAATTTTTAGGGGTTTTCTAGGTAACCGAAATAAAAACTAACCTTAAATTGGTCTTTTTGTCTGTTTTGAATGTAATTTCAAAAATTATTTTTGAGTCATGTCAAAAGTTGAAAAATTTTTTGAACCATTTATAAACAAAATGCGATAAAATAATGTAAGCAACGCGTTAGCAAGGTGTTTTATCAATTGAGAGTGTAGTAGCACTTTTTCTCGATTTTGGTGTGAGAATGTCATTATTCTCGCATGCAAAATCGTTGAAGAGTGAAGCTCTTTCTTCAACGATTTTTAGAGACATTTAGTTTCCAAAGTATACCTATTGGCACCTTCAAAATTGTCAAACCTTTTAAAATGATAGAATCCACCCTGTCAATTAGTTGGTAAGTAAGTGTCACCAACTGTCATATTTTGCAAAAAAAATCCCCAACTAACAGCAACCACAAAAAATTTAAAAAAATTAATTCAGGTCAGTTTTTTGTTTATTCATCTCCTGATCAACTTACTGGTAACTATCTACAAGATAAATTTAACCAACAGTAATCCGATTGGTCAACGAATAATTGGCCGACCAATAGGATTATACAGTATGTCCACTTAAGTTCGCAGCATATAGGAAACTTTTTCATTATCAATTTTACGAAAAAAAGTTATTCCTTATAAAAGTTTCTGCTTCTTGAAAAAATAATATTAAACTAATAAAACTTGAAATAGCATATACAGGGTGGTCAGAAAATAGAAAAATATACAGGTTGTTTCCTAAGTACGGTTCGTAGCTTCAGGATGTGATTCCTTACAATATTTTGAGAAAAAAAGTTCCCATGAACATGTGTCCGGAAATGCGTAGTTTCTGAGATACAGGGTGTCAAGGTTTTAGAAAAAAATCGTTTTTTCAGCTCAAAAATCCCTTTTCCATTTTTTTTTCTAGTTTAAAAAAGAAAACAAAAAACAGGTCTAAGTAGATGTATTCTATTTAATTTGGTTTACATAGGTCATAGCTTCTTTATGCTTAGAATTTTAATAAAAATATATGTATTTTTAAAACTTATTATAAATACTTCTATAAAAATCACATCATACAGGACTAGAAATACACATTCTTACAGCTAATCTATATTATATAATCCAATAATTTTTACTTTACTTAGTAGGTATCTAATTAATTGGATGTGTGAAAGCGGTAATTTGGGTCTTTGGAAGGTCTAAACTTGTTTATTTAATAAAATCATTTATATTTCCAGTCCTTTCTTCATCAAGAGAAACATAAACTCAAATTAAAATAAAAAACTAGCTGCGAAAATACAGCTAGAATTTAAAATATGTGAAGATTGAAGTTTTTTTTATACAGGAAAATAAGACACGCCACCTCATCAGCATACCTTTTTTTTGTCCGTCGGCTTGAAATGGAAAGCTTTTCCTGTTTCTACAGAGTGTCGGATAACAATAAAATGTTATTATTCTTAGTACCTACATAATATTTCTTAGAATTTTATTGAAATCCTATTTTTCGGTTTTCAGAAGACAGTATACACATACTTCAATATTGTCCCTTGAACCCCAATTTTCCCTGTTTTTTATTGTTATCTTACACCCACTCTATGCCAAATTCGCATATTCCGTTGTGGTGTTTCACCTTAGGAGGTAACCGGTAATATCTCAAGAACTAGTAGTCCTAGTTCTTTCAAGTAATTTTTTTTTCTTTAAAAAAGGCCATGAAAAATTGCTGGAAATAGTTTTCAAGTTTGCAAGTTGACTGCTAGGGGTCGCAACGAACACTCGAAAACATGTGATTATCTGCAAAAAGACCTACTAAAGGTATCCTAAAAATATGCTTATTGAAATCTTGATGAGATTACGAGAAAACTTTGTTCAGGATTTTTTGCCCTAACTCTTCAAATAAGAGGTGGGGAAAGGTTCAAACTAGTTAGGAACAGAAGTCATATAACTTTTTTGTTTTTCAACCGATTTCAATGATTCGGGTGTCATTTGGAAGAGTTTTTTCTGTTTAATAAAATTCATAACAAAAATAACTAAATTAAATTATTTTGTTGCCGCTAGGGGGCGCTGTGTCTAAAAGTCGATAATTTTCCTTTTTTTCTCGGAAATTTCAAAAATAATGATGCTTTTTTTTTAAATTTAGATAAAAAGAGGTTTAAAAAATAAGGAAAAAGGTGAAAACCGCAAGTCTGAATCTTTATCCTAGTCCAAAATATAAATGAACAAATATTTTAAATAACAAAATTACCAGTCCACGATATCAAGAATTGAAATCGAATTGAACTAAAGGTATATTATAGCCCTTTATTTTATATGCCACTAAAAAACTACAAACAGAAACAAAAACACAAAATTAGTACTAAAATAAAAAATATGTGAAATAAAGAAATTGGCTAATGCCATTCCAGATGTTCGAAGTGTTCATAAATTCCAAATAAGTAAGTTTTGGTGAAAACTGCGTTTTGTTAACTTTTTAATTTGTATTTGACTTTGACACATAGACAAAATGTCAGAAATGCATGGCCCACTAAGATCGCTTTAACCAATGGAGCACGCGCACGGTGCAGGATATAATTTTCATGAATACCTGTCATGGCTACGATGACGATATGATGGTGAACACTGAACATCTGGAAAGGCATTAGCCAATTTATTCACCTATTTTACATATTTTTTATTTTAGTCCTAATTTTGTGTTTTTAATTCTGTTTGTAGTTTTTTGGTGACATATAAAATGAAGGGCCTTAATATACCTTTAGTACAATTCAATTTCATTCTTGATATCGTGGACTGGTACCTACTTTTAAAAAAACAATTAGTTTTTGCCGTAAAAAATGAGGTTTTTTTTTTGTTTTATCCTGAAAGGAAGGCAAGAAGGTTTTTCCTGGAAATTTTGTTATTTAAAATATTTATTTAGTGTTCGTTACGCCCCCTAGCGGTCAACTTACAAACTTGAAAACTATTTCCAGTAATTTTTCATGGCCTTTTTTTTGAAAAAAAAAAATTACTTGGAAGCTCTAGGACTACTAGTTCCTGAGATATAGCGGGTTGCCTCCTTAGGTGAAACACCTGGTACAATAGAATCTCCTCATAAACAAATTATTGATTTCATTTAATGAGGTTAAACAAATTTGTAAACATTTCTGGATTTTGTAGTAGGATTTTCAATTATGAAGTAAGAGTGGGGTTTTGACTGTTGACCCTCCATATATTCCGAAATTTCCCTTCCACACCTAGTTATAAATATAATTATATAACAATATTAATAGATACAATAATTTATGTATACAACGAAACCACCGAACAGAGACAAAGGAAAAATGATCATTCTATAACAACACCGTGAAGATGAAATTTTGTTTCAAATTTTTTGAGATGTTGTGGACCTTTCACTATTCTATCTTTTTAAAGATATGTCTTTTTTTTTTCAGGTTGAAGCAAAATTTTTGTGTGTCTATTTATGAAAACTGAGCTCTCCAGATAACACTTGTTTTTATATTTGTTTCTGTTCGGTGAGAGAATAAATGCTTTAAATTTTCGTTTTTCATTGGACCGCTAAATTTTAGAAGGTAATTAGAGTTGTAGGTATCTAATTATTTTGGTAAAGACGGAATTGGATATGAGACGTTGGGCGTAGTTAAGGCCATGGGCCAGCTTTCAACCTTAGAGGCAAATTATTTTTTATATTTTTAAAATATAATAAAATAAAGAAAAATATCACAATATAGAGACAAAGAAGTCTAAGTAGTAGTATTGGAGAACTATAATTGGACGGTCGATTTACTTTTACTATTCACTACAAGAAAGAATTAAATAAAAAAAGATAGTCACATATAATATGATTCAAGTGGCAAGGGTAATTTTTGAAGCGAATGAGTAAGCACCAGTGATCTCAAAAATAAATGGATAAACAAAGAACGCTTCTAATGCTGCTAATTTACCAGATCATAATGTTAACAACTGGGACAGCTGTGAGCGTGCGCAGTAGATACATGTACCCCAAGTAGCACATAATATGGGGTAAACATCGTTTTTCAGTTGGGCCAATATTTATTCAATTTTGTTGTTAAATCAACACAGTACCAATATTGGGGCAACGTTAGTTTTAACTATGTGGAAACAATATTTAAAAATAATCTTGTACCAATATTGTTTTCATAGATTAATTAACTTTTCAGTAATTTGAATATTGGCCCAAGACTTTCTCACTACAATATTGATTAATGAAATATTGGCCAAATATTACATTTTATATTATCGAAACAATATTGTAATATAATATTAATTCAATATTGGCATTAAATTTTTTATTGATATTTAAATTCACTTCAAAAACTTTGTACTCCCAATATTTATTTTCAATTTTTTCACAATATTGATACTTTTTGAAAAGCCCAATGAAGGGTCAATATTTACATACTAATTTTTACCAAGGTTAGATTTTCTGTATTGAAAATGTTGGTCCAATATAGGGTATTCAACGTGCGCACTTGGTGTGCCGACCAAAAAATAGATGGAGACTCTGTCTTCACTTCACCTGTCTTAAACCTGGTTCCGGGATGAAGCCAAAAATTGGTTGTTTTCTCTCTGCGGGACCCTGGCGGGACTTAACCGTGCTGATGAGTTGTGATACAGCGAAATGGGTCCACGGATGGTCCGGCAGAGAGAAAACACTTCTTAGTCGGTCCTTATAATTGGTCCGTTACCTTAATTAAATATAATATAAAGCCAAGATTTACATACGTCTTCGGGCCAATATTGGTAATTTCAATTGGCTCTATATTGCATAAAGTTCTTGATATGATATTGATTATTTCTTTTTGGGCCAACATTTGGTTACGTTATTGTACCAACGTTGGTATCTATTTTTGGGTATATATTGACATACGTTCTTGGACAAATATTGCAGAATGTCCACATCTTTTATTGGACTAACATAGAGGATCTGACTTGGGCCAATAAATCGTAGTTATTGTCCCAATATTGGCCCAACATAGGAGTGCTGCTTGGGACTGTGCGTGCGCAAAATATAGCCAATGAAAAGGAAGGATAGTTCAAAATTTAGAACAGTTGTTCGAAAGTAAGACACTGCACAGGCGTTAGGCTGTTCAGTTGCACAACTGTTCGTAGACTATTGACCCCAAATTTTCGAACAAGTTTAGCTAATCAAGCTGTACGATTGTTTATTTATTTATTTCTAAAATCAGTGGTAAGCACACAGTCTCTAAAGGAAATCTTCAACATAACATTAGTTTTGTGTTAGATGAGGACAATAGATGCATTAGCACACAGGGTTCTTCTATCAAATTTGGCGTATACGCACAAGGCTTGGAGATCAAAACTTTAAGGGTACCTAAGAATGTAAAACAGATAAAATAGGTGTTTTCATGACGAAAAAAAAAACTGCTGCAGGCTAGATTGGCCTTCTGACCAAAGTGTCAGGCTCTCAGGGTGGACCTGTACATGTAAATTAATGAGCCAACAGTGTTGAAAAAGAAAAAGTAAATTGTATAGTTTCCATTTCCTTTAACTGTCATATTTTCAGTACCTAATCAGGATCAGCTGTAAACACTCAAAATTTAATAACATAATAAAAATTCAACATCTCTTCATCAAGTAGGTAATCCTAACTTCTGGCATTTGTTACCATTTTAATGACTCAGTTCTTCCTGTATATCTGCAACACTTTTACCTTTTGTTTCAGGTACCATCATTAAAACAAAAATCGTTCCTGCAACCGATGTTGCAGAAAACAAATAAAACATTGTATCCTTTCCTAACATGTGAGCCAAATTTAAATAAGATTTAGTGATTACGAAAGCCAAGAACCAATTAAACGTTCCTGCAGTCGAACCTACCATGCTTCTTATTTCTGTTGGTAGAATTTCAGAGCAAATCATCCAGGGAATTGGACCAATGCCTGAAAGAAATATGAATTTCAAAAATCAACAATTTAAATATGTTACAATGTTTTGTAAGCTCCTATTTAGAAACAGAGAGAAAAAGTGGCCTCATAGCTTAGCTCAGACGATGATATCGCATGGCAAAACAATCAAAAATTCACTATTGCATGGTGGTGTATGAATAAATGATTCTAGTTAATGGGGACTGAATCTTAGTACTAGCAAAAAATTTTGGTTTGTCAAAATATTTAATACACAATATTTTGAAGTGTTTAAATTTGCATTTTTTACTTTATTGCCATCCCCAGCAACTCAATTGGTTGAAAATTCTACTACAAATAATGTCTTCTAATCACTTGTTAATCATGTAATGTGCAGAACATGCGCCTTAAAAAAGCTGCATATTTGTAATTACCTACTTAACTATGTACAAAATGTGAAATTAAAATAAACCAGTGGTGTTTTCTCAAGTCAGTTTTAAACTAATACCTCCCGAAGAATAATATGAAGCAAAAGTTGTTTATGATGTCTTTTTGGCTTACCTAAAGAAAATGACAAAACAAATAGGCACACAGCAGCCACAGGAATAAACCCAATGTCTCTGAGTACTTCTGCATCTGGATGGCCTCGGGTTTTTAAAGAAAAGTAAATAGCCAACACTACAGCATTTATTGCAATGGCAGATAATGAAATGAATAAAAGAAGTTTCCGGCCAACTTTTTCTATAATGAGACTGGCACATAATGTAGAAAGGGCAGTCACAGCACCAACCTGAAAACCATAAACAGAATTGTCAAAAAATATTAATGGAAATGTGTAATTTCTATTAAAATATTAATAATAAAAATCGTTCATAAAAAAAAAAAAACGTTGATAATTTAGCACTAACTAGATTTTACCCAAGGCTTTGCTCGCGTTGATGTCCCTTAATAACTGTCAAAGAATATTAAAAAGTAAATAAAATATGATGCTTGACTGGGATCATTAGTATTTTAGTATTTATATTAGTATTTTAATATTTATATTTTAAATCAATTTCTCTCTGACTCTTCAGCTTTATTTATATTTTTATATAATTAATTAGATTTTTTTTTTTCAATATTGTTATTTTTTCTGAAAAGTGTCCTATGTTCTTTATTATACTCGGTTTAGTAGTTTACTCGGGAAAGCATAACAAATAAACAAACAAACAAACTCACATTCGCAATTATAATATTAGTTAGGATTTTAAAGGCGCGTTTCCACTGAAAAGTTGGCAACTTCTATGTTGGCAAAGCTTCCGAAAGTCACCAACTTTTGTTTTCATTGTTGTCCACACCGATTGAAACAAAGTCGTCAACATTTTAAGAAACATTCCAGTTGACAACTAGTTGTCTCCACTGATTATTTTATATTGACAAAATGTCGTCGATTGATAACGATTTGATGCTATCAGCCGCAGCATTTATTATTTTGAGCAGAAAAAAGAAACGAAAGAATAAATATTGGGTACGACCAACATCACTGATGGTTTTCCATGCATCCTTTTTTTTTTGTTTTTATTTTTATAACTCAAGTCTTTTGAATCCCATAGCATGGTTTGGGTACGGCATAAATTAATTAATGTATCAATATCTTCATTTGACGACGTCACAGACATGTTTCTGTTTATACCTATGTATGTTTCCAATTCCAACTAGCGACCGTCCACACAAAGCCATTAAATGTTGGCAACACGCGTATCCCTTTGATGTTTACCGCCAGAAACGGAAAAACGGTTCTCGACATTTGTTTCAATTTTGGTTAACAACATGGGAAAATTTCAGAAACCAACACGTGTTGGCAACACAAAAGTTGCCAATTTTCCTTTGGTGGAGACGCGCCTTAAAGCAAAAACTGTTCATGAACACAAAATTTGCGTAAACTAAATAAGAGAAAAAAAAAATTAAATGGTGATACTGTATGTACTTACAATTATGGTGGCAATATTGGAGTCCAAGTGAATACCAGTAGATTTGAAAATATCACTGGAATAGAGAATAATGACGTTAATGCCGCTAAACTGTTGGAAAAACATCAAAGCCAAGGCTATCAAGACAGCCTTCACCACTGATCGTTTGGTAAAAGTATATCGGAGTGAAATTGCTAATTGTGAACTTTCTTTCAAACTGCCTACAAGCAAATTTCAGCAAAGAAAAAAAGTGTAGTTTATATTAAAAAAATTACACACCTTCAATTTGGAGTAGTTCTGCTTCAACATTGTATCCAGTACCTCGTAGTTTCATAAGACTTTTCTTAGCTTTTTCGAACTCACCTTTCTTGATTAGGTAGTGAGGAGTTTCTGGTTGAAAAGCGAAAGTCATCAAGAAGATAAATGGCATACAGGCACAAAATTTTGTAAACTAAAAAATAATTTCCACAGTTAATTCATTAGTTTTATTGTTTGATTTTTTTCTTTGACCTTTTACATACAAATATCTTTGTTTTTTTTGGGTATAGGTCAATTTTGAAAATAAAACTAAAACACTACTTTAAACTATATGAGGCTTTCTCAAGCCTTTGTTAAAATAGATGACTGCTAGATTTTCTTAATATTCTTTTAAAATTTTCCAAATTTGGAAGGAACTGGTTTACGGTTGACAATATGAAAAGGTTCACTTCAAATTGCATTTTTTTTATCTTCATAATTTGGATTGGTTACCTATTAATCGTTTGAAAGGTCGATACTGCCGTCCGTCGCAACAATTGCCTAAATTGTTTTAAAAAGCAGTGAATGGTGTGGAGGATTTTTGTACGCATTTATTTGAATTTGTTGAGTAAAAGTTCTTGGTTTCTTGGTTCTTATTTTTATAATTAATAACCAAATGCTTACTTGATAAGGTGAGAGAATCACTCCGAATGTGTAGGCAAGGAGTATACCAGTAACCACCATGAGTTGGAAAAGACTACCCAGAGCGCCTCTAAGATTCTGATGGCAAATTTCTCCATTATAAAGAGGGGCAGCTACACAACAAGCACCTATCGCCATACCAGTTATTAATCTAAAATAAAACATAAAATAGTAGTTTCCTAAATATAACTTTTCTGTATTCACGTTATTATTTTTGTGAATTAGGTACTGTCGATTAATTGCCCATACGTTTTTTTTATCATTATTAGGTAAATAAATATAGGATTTTGGTACATAGGTATACCTTCCAAAATATAGTGCCAAAATACTTTCAGCCCAAATTATAAGTGACCATCCAGCTAGAAATGGAACCATGAGAAGTAGTAAAGCCATTTTTCTTCCAAGTAAATCACAAATAAAGCCTGTAGGAATACACATAGCCATTGCCCCAAGTGTTGCAAAGGAACCTGAAAAGTAATGAAAGAGCAATATATAGTGGATACACACAGTGAATGTGAAAGTTAATACTGAGGTTAATACATACCAATCCAACCCATTTGATTCTTGTCAATTGGAATGTTATTAAATTGTCCATCAGTAAGATAATCAAATATTGGAGATGTCCATCCTAAAACTAAGCCAGCACATAACGCTGATAGAGATGCTAGAACAATCAAAATAAAATTAGAGAAAATTAAACAGAGGTGGAGTGTTTAAATTGTTTAAATACCTGTACAGGCAGCCCAAATTTGCGGAAAATTAGATGGTGGCGTTAATTCACAAGTGGGAGACTGAACAGGATGCGTTTCCTAGATGTAGAAAAAGGTAAGTTTAATCCATTGCTGGGCCAAAAAAATATCAATATCATTTGTTTGAGCCATCAGGAATAACAATATTGGAGTAAAGTTTAATTAAAGAAATTAGAGATATAACCTCCTAAGACATTTCAAAGTTATTAGTACTTGGAAAAAATAACATGTACCCAAACCTGTACTTAGCTGTATCATCTCATTTAGTCTTGAGTGCAAGAAAAAGAATTATGTAAGTATACAGGGTAAAAACAACAATATGAAGACAACTAAGATGCTACTAAAAATTCATTCAAATTTCAAAATTACTTTAATGAGTTTTGATTTTAAATTATTTTGCTGATTTCTTGTCGATTCAATTATATAGGAATATTTGCTGCGCAAAGATAGGCTATTACTCTGTGTATAACTGATGAACCACGAGCAAAATTCGACGGACACCAATCAAAAAAACAGGCCGGTTTCAGTAGGAGCGACGAGCTATTAACCATGAAAATCCTGATAGAACGAGCCAATGGGTATCATATCCCACTCTATTATATATTGCATCTATCGAGTTTGAAAAAGCTTTTGATAGTGTTGAACACTGGGCACTAAAAAGCTCTCAAATTAATAGCAGAATAGACTACAAATACGCAGACCTAATAAGAAACATATATAGTGAAGCAAAAACAACAATTAAAACCCACGAGGAAACAAGACCAATACACACATAAAAAGAGGTATCAGACAGGGAAACACAATATCACCTAAACTTTTTAGCCAGGTCCTAGAGGATGCGTTTTCAAAGAATTAGAGTGAGCAAAACAAGGTATACAAGTAGGTGGACAGCCTAAGATATGCAGATGACATCGCTCTAATAACAGAGATAAGAAAGAAGAACTGAGCTCGACTGACAGAGATGTTGGAAGAACTGAACCACAGTATAAAATCAATGTGTACTCCCTGTCCTCGCCTATAGAGTGCAAACATGGACATTCACACAGACAAACATAGACAAAATATTAAATGAACAAGATCAATGAGAAGACAAATGTTACATGCTCGGTTACATGTAAAACTAATAAATAGAAAGCAAAACAAATGGGCGAGAAATAAACAACAGTGAGAGAAAAGAGGTAGCAAAATTGAAATGGACCGGTTACAATATCAGACAAGAGGACGATCGATGGAACAAATGTATAATACACTGGGGACGTGGACAACCTAAGATATGCGGATGACATCCCCCTAATAACAAATGAGAAAGAAGAACTGATAAAGATGTTGGAAGAACTGAACCACAGTATATAATCAATGTGTAATCCCTGTCCTGACCTATGGAGCGCAAACATGGACATTCACACAGTCAAACAAGGACAAAATATTAAAAGCACAAGATCAACAGGAAGACAAATGTTACATGTAGAACTAATTGATAGAAAGCAAAATAACTGGGTGAGAAATAAACGAAAGTGAGGGAAAAGAGCTCGGAAAAGAGGTAGCAAAATTGAAATGGTCTGGTCACAATATCAGACAAGAGGATTATCGATGGAACAAATGTATTATAAACTGGAGATGTTGGGAAAAAAAAGAAGCAAAGGCGGACCCCAAAGAAGATCGGCGGATGACGTTAAGTAGCACGCGGGAACTAGATGGATGAACATGGCGGATGGCGACAAACAGAGAAGAGTGGAAAAGACTAGGAGAGGCCTAGTTATGTCCAAAAATGAACCAGAGGGCTAAAAAGATAGATAGATACCTACTTAGATTACTGGACTCGAAAAATTGCCAGATAATTAAAATGGTGTACTTAATTACATACATGGACACCCGAACCAGACAAGAATAACTTGTGGCACCTAAAATCAAAAATATTATTTCGTTTTTGAAAATCCAAATATTCACAGAAACCTGTTCACAGTAAGTATGATAATTACTCGGATAATTGAATGGGTGATTGGAAAAATGATAAAATTCCAAAAATATGGCGAATTAAAGTGAGATAGCTATTTTATTCTAATTTCTCTTATCTTTCCGCTGAGCACAAAAACGATAAAATCGCCGGCCCGCTTCATATCATAATTTGATTTGTGAGTGGAAAAAGGATAATATTCCTGAAATTCTATTGTTCTTCCATGGATTTAGAACTTCGCGCTATATCAGAGCATCGAGCATCTGAGTTTTTGAAATGTTGTTTTCTTCAATAAATACTACTTCTTTATAAATGTTAAATAAATAAATAAATAAATAAATATCGCCTTTGTTTAATATTAAGAACAGAAAAAAAAAATCGACAAGATACATTCCCATACAAAGAAGAACAATTGAATTGAATTGAATTGAATTGAATTGAAATCGTCTTTATTAAAAAAACAAAATATATAAACATACATTATCATATACTATAACTCTGAGCACAAATCAGAATGGACTGGCGAAGTCTAGCCTAGGGCTACTCATACTCAACCAATCAACCCCCGTATTTGTACTATATCAATGGCACAAAATATAGCTAAACTAAAACTAAATATATAAATTAAAATTATTTTTTGATTAGAAAGGGGCTACCAAAGACAACTAACCATTTTTTGGTTTATTTACTCGCCAAATTCTCACAAAACAATCTCACTCAACTAGCTCAAAAACCGTAAAAGCACTACTGTTGAAATTTACTGATTTTGTAACAAATATTTTTTAACGTCAATCTTGAAATTACTTAAACCAAGTGACTTAAACACATTCGGCAAAAAATTATATCGTTTTACAGCATTATAAACCATAGATCTTTGGAACAAAGCAGTATGATGCCGTGGAGTGGTTAATATAAACCTTTGACGAATGTTCACATTATGTACTGTAGTTCTAGGAACAAATTTACTTTTTAATATTTCCGATGTGTGAGGTAGGTTGAGAAGCTTACGAGTAAAGTTATTAAGGTGCAAAATTCTTCGGTTCTCCATGTTTAACCAACCCAACTCTTTAATTTTGTGAGAAATATGATCCCGCCTACTCAAATTGAAAATTAGTCGACAGCAAGAATTTTGTATTCTCTGAATACGCTTTTTGCTATTAAAATCAAGAAATCCACCATAAATAAAGTCACAGTAATTAAAATTAGATAAAACCAGTGACTCACATAACTCTTTTTTCAATTTTTCACTAAGAAAATATCTGGCACTGTACAGTAATTTTAGTTTGTAAAAAGACGCTTGAATTAAATTATTAGTGTGCACCCTAAATCTCAGTTCTGAGTCTAATGTTAAACCCAAGTTTCTTGCACTTTTGACAATCTCTAAAGGTACATTATCAATTTGTAAATTGAGATTCATTTGTAGTTCTCGAAGTTTCCTCTGACAACCGAACAACATTACACTTGTTTTGGAAGTGTTAAGATTAAGGTTATGTTCAAGGGATAAGTTTTTAATTCTCGACAGCTCAGAATTAATAATGTCACCGGCAAGATGAAAGTCCCTCTCCGCAAATTCAAAATGCAACTGAGTGTCGTCAGCGAATGCCTGGGCCTTACAGTTGGTTACAGAATTCAGAATATCTGTGGTATATATAATAAATAGGAGCGGACCCAAAACAGAGCCCTGAGGAACACCAGAAAATATATCAAGATAGGACGAATGATTTCGATCATAAGCCACACTTTGGCTACGTTTATCAAGATAAGACTTAGTCAGATTGATAGAATCTAGCTCAAAACCTGTAAATTTTAGTTTTGCCAACAGTAGTTCATGATCAATCGTGTCAAACGCCTTCGAAAAATCCAATAGAACCAGCACACCAACCAATCCTTTATCATAAGCGTCACAGATGTCATTAGTTATGTTGGATAAGGCGTCACTAGTTGAAAAATTAGATCTGAATCCATTCTGACATTTGGGAAATAAATTGTGAACCGTGAAGAAATTGTACATTTGCTTATATAAAACTTGTTCCATGATTTTAGAGGCTACAGGAAGAATACTTATTATTCGTAAATCAGAATAAGTCTCTGGGTTTGCCTTTTTCGGTAAAGGAGTACCAACTGCCTTTTTCCAAATTTTAGGAAAATAGCACTGTTCAATACAAGAATTTATAATATGTACTAGAAAAATGTCAATGAATGGGCTACAATATTTTAACATTGAAAGGGAAATATTATCACAACCAGAGGATTCTTTTTTTAAAGAGTGTAAAATGTTATGAACTTCATCAGAGTTTGTCATTTTAAAATTGAATTTATTATTAAGAGAGGTAGTATTATTATAAGCATGAACAAGATCATCACAATTCTCATTAACATCCTGAAAAAGCAAAATATTGATTTATTTTATTTGGATCGGACAAATTGAATGGCAAAACAATAGTATAAGTAAATATAAATTAACATGATAGGGGATGCAAACTCTAGCATGGGGAAGTCTAGCTTGAAAGCTACTCAAACTCAACCATATTATCCAGTGATATGCATACACCCCACATATTAATGAAATGTACCATCATAATATTCCCTAAAAAACTAAAAAGTATATCTAAAAAAAAGCGCAAATATGAGTAAAAATTTAAATTTAAATATTTAACTATATAATTACGTTGGAATTTTAACCAATAATATAAATAGTTTTAAGATAGTTCAGAGACACCAGCGCACCACCCTCTAGCAAGCCATCAGCAACTAAATTAGGGGAGGGAATTAACCTGCTCATTAAACAATATAGAACGGTATTCACGCTTGAAACTTGTGATATTATGTTCCTTTAAGCCATGAGGAAGAGAATTATAAAGCTTAATAGCATTATAAATAAAACCCCTTTGAAATAAGGAGGTTTTGTGTTGTGGAATTGTAAATTTCTTGTTTGATCTGATGTTCCTATTATGTACATTATTGCGGGGAATAAACTTATTCTTAAGTAACACAGAAGCATGAGGGGAGGTGAACAATGAATGAAGAAAATTTCCAAAATGATGAGTTCTCCGATTATCCATGTTGAGCCAGTTGCAGTGGACAATCTTATGAGAGATCCGATCAT